CATTCAAAATAAAAGTTTTTGTTTACATAATATATGTATGTGTACTGTGTATATTTATTGTGTATATATAAAAGCACACACATACAGTATATGTTTTGAAAATATTTACATGTATATATTTATATTCATATAATTTATATTATATATAAATATATTTAATATATAAACATAACATATTTTTCTTAAATATATGCATGCATGTGTTTGTGTTTATATGTACATAATAAATATACACCGTACACACATGTTATGTAAACAAAATATTTTATTTTGGATGCGATTAATCGTTTGACAATGATATTAAACACTACTAAATATGACCTCTAATAAATATGCTTTGATAAAAATTATTACAATAAATGCTAACAAATACTACTGTAATAATATTACTCTATTAAATAATATTTTGATCGTTTTTTTAAATATTGTAGAAATATATGCTCTATAAATACTCCCGTAATAATATTGTGAAATTAAATACTACTTTAATTATGCGTTCATAAACCTTATTCAAATAAATACTAATAAATACTACTGCAATAATATTGCTCTAATAAATACTACCTTGATTATGCTTTTATAGATAGTGGAACATTTTTTAATACATGTTTCCATAATAATATAGTGATATAGTAAATGCTATAAAAATTATGTTTCGTGAATATTGCATTATGATTGCACAAATATTACCACTATGACTATTAATGCACTAATACTAATTAAATATTCATGTGTTAATAAGTATTTGTAATCTGGTAGCAGTTGTTTAGATTTTACCGCGGTGTGTTGTCCTGGTCATTAGGGCGTCGGATCGTCAGGCTGTGTTGGATTCAGAGCTGAAGTCTCTCCAGGCGTGTCTCCGTGAGCTTGAATCCTTCCTGAAGTGGCTCCATGAGGCGGATACTACAGTCAACATGTTATCTGACGCCGCCCAGAGGGAGGAGCTCTCACAGGACTCCGCCCACATCAAGGAGCTCAAAGGGCAGCTTGGGGTAAGAACTTTAGACTCACATTTTTACATGTACAACTTATGTTCCATCATATCCATTATAAAACGGAGAGTTCCGGTCCTAGATTCTGATTGGTTGAGCCGCGTTCTAAGCTGTTGTAAATTACACTACAAACATACACCTTTGTTTACGTCTGTGTGTTGCTCGGCAACAACTTTGTTGGAACCACAACTGTTTCTGAGGAACTACATTGTTTGGTGGAAGAATACTGTTTTTATTAATATCATTACACTTTATTTGCTCTGTTTTATTCTATGAAACCCTATATGGAATAACCGTTTTATAAAAGCAATAAGCCCCATGAAGCCGTGGTTTACAGTGAATTTATAACAGCTAAGGGGGTTTCCGCGTCGCGTCATACCTAACAACACCCCTTAGCTGTTATAAATTCACTGTAAACCACGGCTTCTTGGGGCTTATTGCTTTATTTGGGACTAGAGCCAACTTTGCAATCCAGACATTGTGTAAAGCCAACCAATCAGATCTGAGCTTGTGGTTTTCAGCTAGCACTTGCCAGGTTTGTTCTGTTTGTGCAAAATGCGTTAGATAATTGGTGTGTGGACTGCGGGCGGTCCATGGGTGTATTGTCTGAGGTTTAGACAAATAAGGGACATACGGGAACTAATGTGTGTGTGAATAGGGCCTTTCGCACCGCTTTAGTTCCAGAACTAAATGTGCAGTACTAAAGTACTGGGACGATTTTGTGCGAACTATTTCCCAGTACCATTTAAAGGGTTGCATTCGCACCGAGAGTTTGTACTAAGAAGTGACGTAAAGTTCCACAATTAGTTCTGGTACTATGAAAAGGTTCCCGCGGTGCGAAAGGCCCTAATGATATTCAGTTATCCCTGTGTCAGTCCTCATTAGTTCCCCCATCAGCCAGACCACAGCATACGTGTAATCAAGGTATAGATCACGTCAGCTGAGAAAGAGCGCGTGTTCCTGTTCTCCTCTCTCCTCCATCTTCAGTTCTTTGCGGAGTCTGTTTGTCCTGTGAGATTCATACATCACAGTGTGATCTCTATCTGCTGTCCGCTCTAATCACGACTGTACGCTCTACTACGATTCAGCAGCCTAATGCACTAAATACACTAAAGTACAAGCTGTCAACTTGTACTAAAATGGACTGTCCCGGCTCTAAAATGGGAAGTCGCACAAATTCATTGAATCATCTTTTATTGTGATGTTGCTTGTCAACAAATGGCATTTTTGCAGCTGTGAAGGGCCCTGTGAGGACGTTTGCAGGGTCAGTTGAAGCTAAAGTGAGCAGCTGAATGCTTTCATGAAGGGCCCTTCCTGAAGGCCGTTCGTGAGTGTGCTGACCATTGTCACTTCAGCGTCTGAGTGCAGAGTCCTCACAATTTAAGGCTTTACAGGGTCAAAACTGCTCACACATTTGCATAGTTTTGGTTATTCATTTGTGTGCTTTTGTTTGTTTATAGTGGTTAAACGGATCGTAGTTGATCCGCGATTCGTACGGACCAAGCCTCACGGTTCGGCACGCATGTGATCCGCGGATTAATTGCAAAATTTAACTATAATAGAATTAAAGTTTATCAATTGTACGTGTTTTCACACGCAAGCGATTTTAAACCATTCTAGCGAAAGAAAAGGCGAAATGGAACTCGATTCGTTACTCGCGTGCTGTTTTCTTTCACATGAAGCTCGCACACACAGAGAGGTGCATTTGACTGCACGCGAACACCGAACTGAACCATCTTTCCTATCTCATTCACTCCTTGCCTTTGAACAGACGCATACAATTATGACAAAATACTGATCTCGACAATCATTGTGGCAAATGCAGTCTGTTGTGTCTTAAGTGAATGAGAACAGCTGAGAAAGAAATCGGATGTGTATCATTAGGCTATATTGGATCCGTGCATCAGTTCTTAAAGGGGCAGCAGTCTAATAATACCTGCTGCTGTCATTATGCTCATCAAACCACAAAACACGTTTTTGAGAAAGATTAATCTATTTTTTAATTTATACAGTGAACACTATGCAGTTTTATTTTACACTTAATTATTAAATTTCTGTATCTGAATACTACCGACCTTATTTGTAACATTGTTCTGTTGTATTTATCTATGCTTGTAATTTGTGTAGCCTATTTGTTCTTATTTTTACTGGCTGTTCACTTGTCTCTTTAATAATGCTTGAACTTTCTTAGGCTAAGAGTTTTTGCTGTGGTATCGTGCTTATGGAAAGCAAAGTTACACAGATTTTTTTTTTCTTGCTGATCCAAAAAACGATCCGATCCGTGGCTCAAAAACCGTAATATGATCCGAACTGTGAGATTTGTGATCCGTTGAACCACTATTTGTTTATCATTATTAGTATTAATAATGCTCCACAATGAGCTCCATCTCTGCAAGTGCTGTGAGTTTGAGTTGCATATAGCGCGCATTTGAAAAGCAACACGCGCCAAACATCTTCCTCAGTTTGTAATGACAATGGTTATATAAATCTGTCAACAAAAGAGAAGCATTTAAAAAGAGAAGTTGTCCTGTGGTTTCCGGCCAAAATACAAACATTTGAAAGACAAAAAAAAACATATATAGTGCATCAGTTCTTAAAGGGGCAGCAGTCTAATAATACCTGCTGCTGTCATTATGCTCATCAAACCACAAAACACGTTTTTGAGAAAGATTAATCTATTTTTTAATTTATACAGTGAACACTATGCAGTTTTATTTTACACTTAATTATTAAATTTCTGTATCTGAATACTACCGACCTTATTTGTAACATTGTTCTGTTGTATTTATCTATGCTTGTAATTTGTGTAGCCTATTTGTTCTTATTTTTACTGGCTGTTCACTTGTCTCTTTAATAATGCTTGAACTTTCTTAGGCTAAGAGTTTTTGCTGTGGTATCGTGCTTATGGAAAGCAAAGTTACACAGATTTTTTTTTTCTTGCTGATCCAAAAAACGATCCGATCCGTGGCTCAAAAACCGTAATATGATCCGAACTGTGAGATTTGTGATCCGTTGAACCACTATTTGTTTATCATTATTAGTATTAATAATGCTCCACAATGAGCTCCATCTCTGCAAGTGCTGTGAGTTTGAGTTGCATATAACGCGCATTTGAAAAGCAACACGCGCCAAACATCTTCCTCAGTTTGTAATGACAATGGTTATATAAATCTGTCAACAAAAGAGAAGCATTTAAAAAGAGTTGTCCTGTGGTTTCCAGCCAAAATACAAACATTTGAAAGACAAAAAAAAACATATATAGTATTGTTATTGGACTGACGTTATTTAAAATAAGAATATTAAAATTAATATTATAAAATACTTTACAGTTCACTAGTATTATAATGCTTATTTTGCTTATTTTTGATTTCTATCTGTTTTTCATTCAGCTTCTTTCTTTCTCATCTGTCTTCCACTTAGTCATTGACAGTTTCTTTTATTTTTTGCATAATCCTTCATTAGTAGTCATCCATCATATATTGTTTTGTCTTTTTTCATGTGTCTAGGACATATTCAGATATTTCCTTACAAGCGTGTTTGTAAAAGACGCAGCTGATGACTGGAGAATGACATGTTATGAAAGTGTTTAATCTTGGCTGATGTTTGACGTCAACGAGAGTGACATGAGAAATAAAGTTGCTGAGGTCTTTATGATTTCAGTGAGAACTGCTTTCCTTTTATTTTCATGACAATACTGTTGAAGTGCTTGCTGTGACGTAAAACTGCTGTGTGTAAGAGTGTAGCTAACCATGTATTTCTTTTCTTTTCTTTTCCTCGTATATTTCTGATAGCATTTTTTTTTTGCACAAAGAAAAAAATGGCATTCGCTCATCTAATGCCCTAAAAATTTACTTGAGCTCATGGTTGGCATTTTGTTGTTTACTGTTGTTTGGAGCGATTTGTTCTCCATCCATCTCTGTCACTGTACAACTGAATCATGCTCAAATCACACTGACTCGCAAGTGGTTATTGCGACGAGACAGACAGACTAATCAATCACATCATGAGACAGACACAGATTTGAGACGCAGACACAATTAGTGTTTCTTTACCTCGAGATTGTAGTGTTTCTAACCTCTTGAAATGTTGTGGTGTGATGTATTTCTGAGTGAAACAGCAGGATTTGATTCATCTGGAATTGATTAGATGGTGAAAAGTGGTTGTTGTATACTATAATGGAGGAAGGTGGTTGGAAGAAAGGGGCTGAAAATAGATTTGTGATCTTGACCTAAAATGAAATTAGAACTGACTGAGTTTTCTTACTTAAAGGAATAGTTCACCTCAAAGAAATACATTCTGTCTGCATGTACTCATCCTCTTTTTTTTTTTGTTCAAACTTAAATGACTTTCTGCTGTGGAACACACAAAGAAGATATTTTGAAGACTGTGCTGGTTGCTCCTTTTCATAAAATCACAATAAATGAAGACCGATGCATTCTAGTTTAGAAAGGACACAAATGCATCAAAAACGTATCATAATGTTGGCCTGTATGACTCTTACACTGTGTGACCGAAATTTTAAATTGTTATTTACTGAAATATTTCCCTCCCTCCAGCTTTTGGTTTTTACAACTGGTTCATTGAATCTGGATCAGATTCATGACTCAGTCATTCAGATCGGTTTTGTGAATTGAATCAACTGATTCATTAAATGGATCCCAACTCTAAATAAATAAACAAATGTACAGGTGCATCTCAATAAATTAGAATGTCGTGGAGCCAAAAGCACCAAAAGTTGGTTAAATGATCATGGTGTTGGTGTGCTTGACTGGCCAGCAAACTCACCAGCCCTGAACCCCATAGAGAATCTATGGTGTATTGTCAAGAGGAAAATGAGAAACAAGAGACCAAAAGATGCAGATGAGCTGAAGGCCACTGTCAAGGAAACCTGGGCTTCCATACCACCTCAGCAGTGCCACAAACTGATCACCTCCATGCCATGCCGAATTGAGGCAGTAATTAAAGCAAAAGGAGCCCCTAGCAAGTATTGAGTACATGTA